CTGAAGTCTAACAATTCAGATTATGATTTTTTTGTTAAGAGGAACTTAAAAGTCATACTAGGTCATTAAGCATGAAATTGATGACATAGATACAACTGCCTGGGTGGTATAAATATGGAACCTCAGAAATGTGTGTATATACATACATATACACATATATATATTATATATACAAATTTATTTAAATATCATATATAATAAATATAATGAATATAAAATTATATATATAATTCATGTATTCTTAATCAGCCTCTGCATGACCCAGTCATCAGAATAAAATAAAAATAAAATATGACTAATGCCAAACCTTGACCCTCATAGTTCTAAAGTGATCCCTATGTGCCTGTGCACATCTGCTCTTCCCAGAGTTGTGTGCTTCCTAAGAGTCAGCTATGTTTGTTCTCAAACCTGCTTATGCCAGTCAGACTTGTTATTAAGTTGCAAAATTTAATTAGATGTTTTCATATACTAGTGAAATATGAATTAAAAAAGAAAATCGTTTCAGTGAAAACCAAATTGAATGCTTTTGAAAGACTCAGTAAAGATGAGTCATTTTAAAAGATGCTTTTGAATTAGGTGTGAACAAGGCAACTGTAAAAGATTGAAGGGAAAAAAAAGACATTAAAATCTAGAAGAATACTACCCTCAGACTGTGCTGCAGGTGCCTTTAATTTTGGTTCCACTTAAGTGGACTACATGTGTAGTGGATTGAATTATGTCCCCCCAAAACTCTCTGAAACTTGAATTGTGTCCCCCAAGTTTTATGTATTAAAAACAGCCCCCACTGTGACTGTTAAGAGGGTGGGAAGTCCTATTATGGTAATTGAAAGGTGGAGCCTTGAAGAGGTGATTGGATTGTAGGACCATGCAGTAGTGAATGGATTAAAAATGGTGGTCAGGGGCATGGTTCTGAGGGCTTTAAAAGAAGAGGAGAGTCTGTCTTTCTCTCTCTGCTCTCTCTGCTTCCACCATCTTGCAATATGAGACCCCTGGGTCACTCTTGCCACCACCAGATGGACTTTGGACTTCCCAGCCTCAGAAACTGTAAGCAATAAACTTTATAAGAAATCCTACATGGTACGTAATGTTTTTTTTAAAAAAAAGATCTCTAATCTCAGCAGAAAATACTAAAAGACCTTGCCTTTCATCAAAGATTAGTGAGTGAGAGCATGTTTATATTTTAATTTAAAACAAAATTACACACATATATGCATACATGTATTTGTATGTATGGATGGAGATGGATATGTGTGTGAGAGACAGAGATTTTTCATGACCCTCTCTTTCCAATCATGTCCCAAGCACACTTGAAAAGAGGGCTTCTGTTGTAGTTTTCCTTCTGCACTTACCAAGATTGTCCTACTCAAGAGTGCTTTTATAGTTAGCTTCGCTAGAAGATTTCAGATGTGATGCCACTTGCTAAGGTTTATTTGGTTTTTATTTTGTTTAGTTTTGTTTTCATTTGCCAAACATTTATAGAGACCCATGAGAAAAGACTCCATTTTAAAACAATCTTTTGAAAAGAGAGAAAGGCATTGTCAGACTACTGGATGGATGAGGGAGGTCATGACCCCCCAGTGCTCTGCCCTTTCTGGCCCTGTCACACCTCCAAGCAGACCTTTTCTTTAACTGCCCCAGGAGCCCACGGAGGTGGCTCCTGCTGCTCCGAGCTTGCTGAAAGGCAGGCAGGCAGGAATGCAGACTAGAAGGTGGGCTTGATGTTCTCAAACTGTAGGCCAGCAGAGGATGAGGACAGCCTCGGGCCAGATGAAAAAAATGGCCTCTTGACCAGGCTCAAAGTAAATTTTTGACCCTTGCTTTTCCCAAACAGATGTGAGGGGCCTGAGGGGCCTTTGGAACTGTGAGGAGAATAATATCAGCAAATATGGAGACATTTCAAATCCTATCTAGCCATGCTCTCCTGCTCCCTAGCTTATCCAGCCACGAGTGACATGCTTTTTGTTGGACCCACATAAGTGCATGTATCCATGTTCTTGTGTGCACACGAGTATGTATGTCAAAGGCCTCAGATAAGGGTTACTTCAGCTTCAATCCAGACTGAGGCAGCCTCCTGATGCAAAATACGTTTTTTTCCTGAATACCTAAGGAATAAAACCAAACTGGTGGGAACCAGGCTGCTGTGAAAAGGTGCCCCAAACACCAGAAAGCTTCAAGCTTGCTTTCTGGGAGAACCAGACAGAAAAGACTAGGCAGACTGGAAGATGGAGTACAGCTTCATTTCAGCTGTCCCAGGAGGATCGTTAAGCTATTCAGGCTTCTTTCTGTTTTATCTTTGTTTTGGCTGGAAATGTGGGTCCCTGCAGTGCACAAAGCCATGGAAACCACTGTTCTCTCTCTGCCGAAGTACAGGGACTTCAGTAAGTGGATAAGGGTGAGAGGGCAACAAAGGGAGGGTATGAGTGGACACAGGAGCCCTATTTGGTTGCTCCAAGGAGTAACTGGACCCCTGCGCAAGAGATCCCTTAGCTCTCCAGAGAAAGAAATTGCAGGGGCACAAGTCATCCCCCCATTTTAGAAGAACACAGGAGTGCCCCTAGGAGGTTGGGGCCCTCTCTTATCAGAAAAAGGCAACCAAAGTACACAGACCATGCTTGGCTAACAGCTAGGATCAGCTTCTTGTTTATTATCTTTTTAACTAAGTGGATTAAATGAGAATTGACTGGAATTGTACACTTAGAGTTCCTTTACAAAATGCCATTATCTCATAAACTGGCTTAATGGAATAGGCTGTCTGGGGCTTATAAGAAGTAACTAAATACAGCACCTTACAGAGCAAAGATTCAAAGAAGTCTGTGCAGCCAGGCCTGGGATATCTCACACCTTGTGTGGCCAGAAAAGAAGGGCCTGAGGTCTAGCTGCAAACCACACTGTTAGCAAGCACCCCAGGGACAGTCCCAGGTCTTCCCCAGAAGAGCATTTGCTACTCCTTCCATTTTAAAAGCATTTCTTCAATTTAAAGATGAATTATGTTTTTCATTGATCTTCTATATATATGGTCTCAGAATATATGAAACACTAGCAGAGTGTAGTGATTAACAGAACCAACTTTGGAGTTAGACTGCAAGAGTTGGATTCTTAGCTTTACCATTTGCTAGTTGAGTGACTTTGTGCTACTTCTCGATGGTTCAATTTCTCCACCTGCAAAATAGGGATAATAATAGTGCCTACCACGTTGGGTTTCTGTGAAGACTAAATGAGCTAATACGTACAAATTTCTTAAAATAGTTCCTAGCATAGAGTGAGCATTGATTATAGGTATTACTGTATCACAGAAAGTAATTCATCTTATTTAATAGCTTTTGTCCCCACATTCCCTTTTATCTATTCATTGCAGCGTGACTCTGCATTCACAGATGAGATTTGGAATGGTTGGAGGCAGTGTACATGGAGGAGCTCAGGTCTGCAATCAGAGAGATATTACAGGCTCTGAATCCAGGCTACCTGTGTTCAAATTGCCATGGAAGCCTAGTATCCTGAGACAAGGATTTGGGTGCAAGTACTGCATTTGAAAGATATCTCCTGGCCGGCCCGGTGGCGCACTACTACAGTGCGCCACTTGGGAAGCGCGGCAGCGCTCCCGTCTGAGGGTTCGATCCCACATACAGACCGGTTCCCGCTCACTGGCTGAGCGAGGTGCGGGTGCAACACCGAGGGTTGCGATCCCGTTGCCGGTCCCAGTCCGGTACGGGCGCGACACTGAGGGTTGCAATCCGTTGCCGGACACGAAAAAAGACAAAAAAGAAAAAAAAAAGAAAGATATCTCCAAAGCACAGTCTGGAAGTAGGGAAGTGAGACAGAGAAGAAGGAAAGCCAATAAAGGGGGTGTAAGAATGAGTGAGTTGGTGTTGTGGGCAGCTAAGGCTCAGTCCTGCTGGGGCCCCTCGAAAAGGCTGTGGAGACCACAACTCAGAATTGTCCCCCCAAGGGATGAGAAAGGGGGATTGTTCCTGTGAGCATTGACTCCCCAGCACCTCTAGCCTGCTCTATATGCAGGCCAAACATGCTGCTACAACTAGAGAGAGCCCTCATACAGAAAGAGAGAGACACACAGACAGACAGACATGCAGGTACCTGAGATAGGAAGCAGTCAGAGTAATGGGAACTGTTCACCAAACCTGCAGGTGACTCCCAGGGTAGCTGAGGGACATGGACAAGACCCTGACTGTGTCTGATTGCAGGAGAGTTACTTAACCTGCACCTCAGTTCCTGCATCCTTAAAATGGAGAAAATACTAGCTCCTACCTCATAACGGTGATGTGAGAATTACTGACTTAAGCTCTCTGATGTATTTAAGAGAGTTGAGAATGCAATTTTAATCTGTTTCTGTTTTTTTAATTTCTAATTTATCTATAATCATTTCTCTTCTGTAAATGAGCTTCTAGCAAAATAGAGAATAAATCCATCTATTGTAAGTTTCCAAAAGAAATAGACTGGTCACCAAGAATGGTCTTCTTGTCAGGCCCCCTCTGTGTTTGACCAGTGTGGAATGGCTGTCTTCTGAAATATGCCATGTTCCTGGTTAGCACAGCCAACACATGCCCATCCCAGCAAGTCCTGTTCTTGGAGCAGCTCTTTCTAATTCTTGTTGTCCTACTTTATGGAAACTGTTGGTGGGATTCAGCAAGGGAGTTTGATAGCAGCAGTCTCCTGTATTTTCCTTTGTGCCTCCTCATACTTTCCCAAAGCTGTGTTCTAAGGATCAGAGACCCTGGGGAGCTTTCTTTCTGTGAAACTTCTGCAGTCTAGAGACTGAAGCCAGTGGCTGTGATCCCAGGCAATTTTGAGTTCTACTTCTGTCAAAGGCATTTATACTCAATATGTTTCATTGCTCATGGGTGATTGGAACAGCCCAGTTGGTGAAAAGCCAGGGAAAATTGGGGTTTAAAAAAAAATCCCAACTGCGTTATATCGAGCTCAAGCTGTCATGATGAAAACTTAAAGATTTGCTCGCTCAAGAAAATATCTCTGGATTTTTTCAGGCTGTGACTCTTCAATTAACCTGACATTTCACAAATCCAAAATTGCCGTGGATGAACTCTTTACTTCACTTTGGGATATTGCTGGAGCTCGCAATCTCATGAAACAGTTTAAGTCTGTATATGTTCCTGGAAATCATACCCACCAGGCAAGTACATGTTTTAAAGTAAACTCCTTCTGTTGTACTTTTGGGATTCAGAGACTGCCACTGCAAGAAAAGTTTTAGTTTTAACCTCTCTAAAATGAGGGGTTTGCTCCAGATGAATTCTAAGTTCCCTTTCAGTTTAGAGTTTGGTTTCCACTGAATCTGAAAGCCTCTCCATTCATTTGTGCCCCGGGCTTGATGCGGTAGGGCAAGCACTGGATTGGGAGTCAGCCATTGCTTTATAACTGTGAGTCTGTTACAGACTTATTCTACAGCCTTAGGCAAGTCCCTTCACTACTGTGGGCCCCAGTTACTAGAGGTACCAAATGAGGGCTAGTCTTAGATGATTCTCAAGTTTCTGGATATAAGAAGTCCATAAACATTTTGAACAATTAGAATAATAAAAGCATCTGATAATATCATGGCAAGGATAAAAGTGTTTGTGACAGGGAAAACATTTGTTATTTAAAATTCCCCCACTGGACTGAGGGCCTCAGCCATGCCCCCTACCCTGCCCCCCCATCTGCAACCAGCCCAGCAACGACCATGGATCCACCACTGGAAACACCCTGGGCTCCCAGGCAGGGGTGGGGCGGTTGCCCAAGGGCTTCAGCCACACCCCCCTGACATCTGCATCCACCCCAACAATGACCAAGCTGAGCCGCTGCTGGAAGACCCCTGGTCTCCCCTGTAGGAATGAGGGGGGTGCCACAGGCCTCAACCATGTCCCCCTCTTTCCTCCTCCCACACTATTTCTTTCCCCCAACTGCTCTACAACAACATATTAGAATGTAAAAAGATAATAATATTAATAAATGAATAAATTTTTTAAAAATAAAATAAAATTCCCCCAATAGTTTCTATGGAGGGTAGAAGAATGTATGAAAGAAGTTTTGACCATTGAACAGGAAGATGGTATGAGAATCCAAGATTAAAGGTACAATTGTTCTGTAAAAACACAGAGAAGAAGAATGCATAGAAAGACTCAAAGGGAAGCTTAAGGAGTGAACAAAGGCTGGAGCCATCAAAGCTGGGGAGTCTCTGTTGGACACAGTCGGAGACAGAACTAAAGTTCCTGGTGGCCAAAGATGAGTTTTCAGAGAAGAAAGGATGTTTCTGACAGTTTGGCTATGGGGAATCTTCTCCTCTACCTCATATGAATTCTGTAGTCAAATCTACGCTGTTTGTTAAGGCTTTTGGAGAGTTTAATATGCTATTAGTGAGGACAATGACAGAGTGAGGAGTTCAGCTTTGGGGTGCTGACTCTTTAAGGGGATGTGCAGACAAGAGCTCACGTTACCCACTACAGGCTAGCAAAATCCAGATTCTCCCGTGTGCTCGCACAGTAGCTGATACATGAAGAGTACTTCTGTGTCTGGTTTTTCCCTTGATTCCCACAAATAAGCCAGGAAAGTGTTATTATCCCAAGATCCAGGAAAGCCTGTGACTTGCCACAGGCACACAGGTGGTCAGGGGCAGGTGCCGGGTCTTTGGCACCAACACAAAACCTCCTCCCCCACTGTACCATAGTTTTATAGAGGTTCTAGAAGTATTGATTGATGGTGCTGATGGTCATCTGAAATCACCCACCAAGATACTAAAGACCTTAGAAATTGGCACTCCACCTACAAACAAAAAGATTCCCATCCTTTTTGCAAAGATCCAAGAACATCACTATCACAAAATACAGATCAAATCACTCAGATAATTTATCATATACAATTTTGTCATTTTAAAAAAATCAGCAACCTTAAATACTGTGTATGGAATAGTTCCAAAAAATGTGACAGAACTGGTGACATAGGATAAAATTTAGACCAAAAAATACCAAGAGGCAAGTGGCTATGATAGTTGGCAAAGAGAAAATAAGTCACTAAATTAATGAGGTCTTTTCCATTTTATGATTATCGTGGTGACTGATTTGGCCAACTTCCCATAAGCATGTGTTAGCTATGCATCTTGGCCATGATAAGGGCAATGATAAGTTTCCTAGACTTAATCTCCCTGCTGTCAACACAACACTGTCATTTCTTCAGGCCTCAAACCCTGCCCTGCAGCCATGGCCTTTGGAAAATGAACATTCCCTTTGTTGCCTTTACGCCCCCTTATAGTGAGTTAACAACATCAACACACTCCACCAAAAATTTTAAATGCTGGTGAGCAGGAAGTGGGGGTGGGATAATGTGTGTGTGTTGAGGGGATTAAATAAATATGATACAGAAATATACTGAAATGTTGCACAACCGAGAAAATGAAGGGAATGGATGGAGATATGCTGGGCGGGGACTGCATCTGAATCTTTGTCTCAGGGTCAGCTTCTTGGGGAACTCAAACTAAAACAGAGGTTCATGATTGATTAGGTGGGGGAAAAAACGTGCCATAGATCATTCTGTGAAGCATTATTCTGTTTTTATAAAAATATAATAGAATAAAAAGTATATGGGTATGTATATTTAATAGGTCTTTAAAAACTTAGGAAAATTTTATATTGGCTGCCTCGTGGGTCACAGGAATGGTTGGATGGGCAAGGAGCAGCAGTGACTTCCTGCTTTGCACAAGTGTACTTCAAAAAATTCATGGAAAGGGCTGGCCCGGTGGCGCACTGCTACAGTGCGCCGCTTGGGAGCGTGGCGGCGCTCCCGC